GGTTAAGCGACTGCCTTCGGCTCAGGTCATGATCCTGGAGTCCCAGGATCGAGTCCCGCATCGGGCTCCCTGCTCAGCAGGGAGTCTGCTTCTCCCTCTGCCCCTCCCCCCTCTCATGTGTGCTCTCTCTCTCTCTCTCTCTCTCTCTCTCATTCTCTCTCTCAAATAAAATCTTTAAAAAAAATGTGAGGCGTTCAAAGTTATGGTTATTTGTTGTGTTATTCATCAGTAGGTACTTTGCAGAAAATATTTGAATTTATCATGTGTTACTGAATCAGTATTGTCGGTGGTGCTCTTCATTTGCTCTCATGGATTTAATTAGCATCAGCTGTGTGAATTTTTGTTGGCCATAGAAGCTGGATATCTTGACTGGCTTTAGTATAGTAAAATTGTTTTACAATATTTTGAGCTTAGGACTGATACTGAAATTTTCTGAGTGAAGCAGGATGACCTTCAACCACTATTGTCAAATACTGATTGGCTTTGGAAATTAGCTTTTTCTGAAGATTTAGACATATTTATGAATGAATCTAACATAAAATTATGAGGCAAAATAGTGCTTACATATGAACTTTAGCTGCAGTTAAGTCATTTCAGTGACAACTGATGTTTGAATCACAAGTAACATCAAGCTGCTTTATACATTTCTTCTGTCAAAGTGAGATCTTCATTCCCATATGAATTTGCGTGAATATATTTTCCACCATCAAACTACAGTTCCAGCAACATTTTTCAGACATTGATGCAAGCGCAAAGAAAGTTTCCATATCTCAAAATCCATTTTTAATTGTGCACTTGAGGAACTTCTACCTAACTTCCAATTGGAAGTGTTTATTCTGCAGTGTAGTGACATATTGAAAAGCAAATATCAAAAGAATCTAAGAGACTTCTATAGCTGCCTTCAAAGTAATGAATATACTCATTAAAATCATGTACTTGTGGGTCAATACCAGTATTTAGCAGTACCTATCTGTCAGAAGAGACATTTCAAAGATAAATACATAAAAGCTGATCAACATAATCAGTTGAATATTTGCAATAGATTTTGATGATAGGAAACTAAAATTGTTACCCCAATTCCATTTTTCATTAGCAAACTTATATTTTATAATATAAAATATAGTTACTATATCTTGAATTTTGTCAATAGAACGTTTATAGGAAGTTTTTCTCTCTCATTATGTAAGTATCTACATGTTTTTGTCCTTGGCCTGCAAAGACTGAAATACAATTGGGCCCTTTTCAGGTAAAGTTTGAGGACCCAGATTCTGTAGCAGTGCTTCTCAGACAAGAATGCACATAATAATTACCTGAAGATCTTATTAAAATGCAGATTCTGATTTGCTAGGTCTAGGGGTGGGACCCAAGATTTTGCATTTCTTATAAGCATCTGAGGTGGTAACATGCTGCTGGTCAATGGACTGCATTTTGGGAGGCAAGGCTCTAGTATTCAAGGTTACATTTTTATTTAGACAAGTATCCTAGGGCCGCCTGGGTGGCTCAGTCAGTTAAGTGTCTGCCTTCAGTTCAGTTCATGATCCCAGGGTCCTGGGATCGAGCCCCATGTTGAGTTCCCTGCTCAGTGGGGATCCTGCTTCCCTCTTCCTCTGCCTGCTGCTCCCCCGCCAGCTTGCGCTCTCTCTCTAATAGATAAATAAAATCTTTAATTAGACAAGTATGCTAATATTTGTTAAGCATCTTTTATTTGCCAAGAATTATACCAGGGATTCTTGCATACATTGCTATTAAAAAGTTGTAAAAACTAGGTGCCTGGGTGGCTCAGTTGGTTAAGCGACTGCCTTCGGCTCAGGTCATGATCCTGGAGTCCCGGGATTGAGTCCTGCATCGGGCTCATGAGCAGGGAGTCTGCTTCTCCGTCTGACCCTCCCCCCTCTCATGCTCTATCTCATTCTCTCTCAAATAAATAAATAAAATATTTTAAAAAAATAAGTTGTAAAAACTTGTTAGAAGGTGTTAAGAACTATTAGTGAGGTTGGGACTCACTGTAGGAGTTTTGGTTAGAAACCAATTGTTTGTTTTTCCTCGAGTGTTTAGCTTCCTCTAGGACCTCATGGGGGAGGGTTGAGGTCCTAGAGGAAGCTGTATGTCTAAGAAACAAAAACAGCGTTAAACAAAATACTACATTATTAGTTGGTTCAGGTCAAAGTGGGACTTAGGTCCTCATCTTCTCTGCTAAATTTCAGTGGGCCATCCCATCAACCGGTTACCAAGCCAAAGAGTAGAAATAGTATATAGCACATAAATGTTTTATAAATATTTTCTCCATGTCTCTTGTTTTTCATTTTTACAACCATGTCTTTTGAACTAGCAAAGTTAAAATTTTGATGAAGTTCAATTTATTTATTTTTAAAAAATTATTTGTAAGCGTTGTGGTAAAGTGTACATAATACCGCATTTACCATTTTCACTATTTTTAGGTGTACAGTTCAGTGCCATTAAGTATATTCACATTATTGTACTATCATCACCACCATCCATCTCCAGAACTTTTGTATCTTCCCCATTGAAACTCTACCCATTAAACACTAACTTCTCATTCCGCCATGCCCCTCTGTCTCTGGCAGCCATCATCTACTTTCTGTCTCTGAATTTGACTGTTAGGAATCTCATATAAGTGGAATTGTACAATTTTTGTCCTTTTGTGTTTGGCTTATTTCACACTTAGCGTAATGTCTTCAAAGTTCATCTATATTGTGACCTGTGTCAAAATTTCCTTTGTTTTTAATGTTGAGTAATACTCCATTTTATGCATAGACCACATTTTGTTAATCCATTCATTCATTGATGGACACTTAGGTTGCTTCTACCTTTTGGCTGTTGTGAATAATGCTGGTATGAACATGGTGTATAAAGATTTATTCTAGTTCTTGCTTTCATTTCTGTTGGGTATATACTCAAAAGTGGACTTTCTGGATCATATGTAATTCTATGTTTAATTTTTTAAGGAACTGCCATGTGGTTTTCCACAATGGTTGCACCAGTTTACATTCCCACTAGCCGAGCACAAAGGTTCAAAATTTCTCCACATCCTTACTAACACTTACTATTTTCAGTTCTATTATAGTAGCCATCCTAATGGGTGTGAAGTGGTATGTCATTGTGGGTTTTGATTTGCATTTCCCTAATGATTGATATTGAACCTCTTTTCATGTAATTGTTGGCCAGTTACATATCTTTGGAGAAATGTCTATTCATGTCCTCTGCCCATCTTTTTTTTAAAGATTTTTTAAATTTAGTTTTATTTTAGAGAGACAGGTGGAGGGGGAGAGGGAGAGAGAGAATCTCAAGCAGACTCTGCGCTGAGTGCAGAGCCAAACATGGGGTGCAGAGCCCAATATGGGGTTCAATCCTATGACCCTGAGATCATGACTTGAGCCGAAATCAAGAGTCAGATGGACACTCAACTGACTGTGCCACCCCCTCCCATTTTTTTAAAGATATTTATTTATTTATTTATTTATTTATTTATTTATTTATTTGACAGAGCGAGAGAACACAAGTAGGGGGAGCAGCAGAGGGAGAGGGAGAAGCGGGCTCCCTGATGTGGGACTCGATCTCAGGACCCCAAAATCATGACCTGAACCAAAGGCAGATGCTTAACTGACTGAGCCACCCACGTCCCTCCCCCCTGCCCATGTTTTAAATTGGGTTCTTTAAGGTTTTTTTGTTGAATTGTAGGATTTATTTATGTATGCTGCAAGGGATCTTGCATTTTTTCTCAGTTTGATATCTAAGAAATCATTGCCAAATCCTCCAAGATCATGATGCTTTACCCTACGTTTTCTTCTAAGAGTTCTATAGTTTTAGGTCTATACATGCAAATGCAAGATCCCTTGGATGTCAAGAAGGAATGGGATCAAAAGCAAAAATTGAAGCCTTCAGTTTTTTAAAGGTAGTTACCTCTTTGAGATGGAAGAAGGAGTGGGCAGAAAATATATGTTCAGGTACAGATACATGGAAGTAAACATGGCAGGATGGCCATTATCCATCCAGTCCTCTGTCCAGATAATGATGAAAGGTAATGAAAGCAATTTTAAAAGATAAAATCTATAGGAATAACTGTTAAACTTTAAGATAGAGGAATGTCAGAGTATGTGGAAGGGGTCTAGTTAGTTTAGTTTAAAAGTGTCCACATGTGATTGGGGATTGCTCCTTATTCCTTTCGAGAACCACTCATTTATGTCAGTTCTAAGGTTTTAGTTTTATCAGTAGAGAGTTGGCAGACATGAAAAAAAGAAATTTAAAATTGAACTTAGCTAGAATTTGTGGTGCTTTAGTCTGCATAGTAGCAATTACATGAGGATGCTAATTTTTCCCCTTTAATTCTCCAGTGGTTGGAGTGATTCTCCAGTGATAGCTGTTACCTCAATGATCTGTTTGATTATGTATATTTTTCATTCACCTGATAGAAACTGAAAACTGTCAAATCTTTGGGATGTGACAGTCATAAAACAATCTTTCCCAGTTTAAAATATAGTCAGATAGGGTATAAATAAACAAAATAACTACTAATGTTACTCAGTGTCAGAATTCTGCATAAGCTAAGATTATGAGAGTAGTGTTTTTCAAACTGTGGACCCATGGTCCATTTATGGCACATGAAATCAATTAAATAGCTCACAACCAGTGTTTTCCTTTTCTGATGGACAAAATAGACTAGAAAATATTGGCGTGCACTGCATGCAGTAAGAAGTATTTGTGGAATTTTTTAATACATGTGTGTATGTGTCTTTGTACTGAATTGGGTGGAAAATATATTTCTTACTGTGGATTACAGTCACAAGTGTTGGAAATTTACTGTTGGTTGTTTTTATAAATGACTGAAGGACATGATAAAAATTTTAACGTCTCAGTCTGTTTATAGAATGCATTCATTAGGTTTATATTGACATCTCAACTAGCCACATCTATATATTTTGTGTTTGTGTGTATATGAAGATATATATTTGTGTTTCATTTTCCTTTTCTGTTATTAATAGGTGCAATGGATGAGCTTCATAGTCTGGATCCAAGAAGGCAAGAATTATTGGAAGCTAGGTTTACAGGAGTTGCAAGTGGGAGCACTGGAAGCACTGGCAGTTGCAGTGTTGGAGCAAAAGTGAGTAAAATTATAATCTTTGTTTGACATTCTTTCATTGTATTAAATGATCCAGAACATATTTTGTAAAAGAATCCTGCATATGTGTTTAGTAGCAAATTACCACTTACTGTAATTTTTGTAATATATAGGGAAAATTCAGTATTTGTAAACCTGATTTTTAATATAGCATAACATACTTCAGGGGCATGATGTTCTAATACATCATAATTGGTTTCAGGAGTAAGAATTAATTGAGTGGATTGAACTGCTCTTCTCCCATTATATAATTTTTACTCTTCCTTGCCTCTGTCACCCTTATTCCTATCTGTACAACTGCTGCATATCTCTTAGGCTTTCCAGTGATAGACCTCACGTTGTCTTCAGCTCCCCATTACCTCACACTGTAGTGGATTTCATGTACTTTTTCTCTTACGGACCTCTGTGCGCATTTGTTTAGGTTACATTCTTAGGTGCAGAATTGCTGGGTTATAGGGTATATATAGAGAGTTAAATTGAATGAATATTATAAGATTGCTATTCAGAACAGTTGTACAGGACTAACCCACACTTTTAACAGAATGCATGATCATTTATGTATCCCTACATCCCAGAAGCAGTTAGCATCATCTGGATTTCTCATTTTTGATAGTCTAATGTGTAAAATAGTATCTCTCTCTCTTTTTTTTTTTTCTTGTACCACCAATTATTTTGAGCATTTCTTTATGTGCTTGTTAGCTTTTTGGGAGTCTCTTCTAAATTGTTAAAATGCTTTTCCTATTTTTCTGTCAGGGTTACTTTCTTTTTCAAACTGATTTTCCCATGTTCCATGTATACTTACATATCAATTCCATGTTGGTTGTATACAGTGCAAATAACTTCTCCCATTTTGTCATGTCTATCACCTTTGTTCATGATATCCATTATCATATAGGATTATTGTAGAGGACTCTTTAATTTTGTTGTAATCAAAGTCACAAATTTTTTTTAACTTATAGTCTATAACTCTGAAATTTTGAATAGCTCTTGGTGTACTTAGAAAAACAGTTGTCACTATGAACCATCTGGGTCAAATAGATCCTTTTCCTTTTTCTTTTAAAGACTTATGAGAGAGAGAGAGAGCACCACAGAGCAAGCAGCGGGTGGGGCAGAGGGAGAGAGAAACCCAAGCAGGCTCTGTGCTGAGCATGGAGCTTGATCTCACCACCCTGAGATCATGACCTGAGCCAAAACCAAGAGTTGGATGTTTAACCAACTGCACCACCCAGGTGCCCCATCCTTTTGCTATTTTTATATTTTAAGTTATTTTGCTACTAATTTATAGCCGTAGGAATAAAGGTATAATGAAAAACAACTTTATTAGACATTTTAATAATAATTTAAACATAAAATCCTCTTGGTATCAAGTAAATCTTGGTGCACAAGCATCTTAAAAGATAAAGGATATTGTCATGCATCCTTTGAGCATCAAGTGGTCCAGATTCATGTAGAAGAATATTATATGAAGTCCTTAAGTTGAATGACTAACTAATGAAAATACCATGTTTCCTTTTTTTCCTTAGAAATATGTTATCCAATTCATTGATTCTTGAATTTGAGAAAATTCATCTAGGATAATATCATTCAATGACTCTGAGATTTCACTTATATAGTCATTGCCATCAGTTTTAGAGAGTCTAGAGGTGTTGTTATCTCTTTGTATTTTCCGATTTGTCTAATAATTACAAAATGTCTTCCACTGTCGTTTTCTTCTCTTGACCATCTTGGGTGGAAAATGAAAATTTCTTAATTCTCCACTGGAGTCAGTGCAATCTATTATCAGTCTGCAAGGATGTCTCTAGTATTTTTTTTTTAAGATTTATTTATTCATTTGAGAGTGAGTGCATGCATGAGTGGGAGGAGGGGCAGAGGGAGAGAAACCCAGGCAGACTCCTTGCTGAGCGTGGAGCCCAACATGGGGTGCGATCTCACGACCGTGAGATCATGACCTGATCCAAAGTCAAGAGTCCGTACTTAACTGACTGAGCCACCCCAGGCGCCCCTGCTCTAGTCTTTTATACATTCTTGCAGGATGATGCAGTACTTTGGGCAAGACAAGAAAATAACTTGAGAGAGAATCACTTATTTCACTATTGCATCACTCTTTAAGGTCATTAAATCTGCATTATTTTTCTCTTTACCATAAAAAACTACTGCAGAGTTGCTTAAAACAAGGCATTTATTTTCTTATAGTTTTGAGGGTCAGAAGTCTGACATTGGTCTCATTGGGCTAAAATCAATGTGTGTGCAGAACTTGATTTCTTTCTTGGAGGCTCCAGCGGTGGGAAGTGGGGAGCACCTTTTCCTTGCCTTTTTCTAGCTTCTAGAGGCTGACCGAATTTCTTGGCTGGTAGTCTCTTTCCTCCATCTTCAAAGCCAACAATGATGCAACTCTCTTACTGTTCTTTGGAAGTCACATCTCCCTCTGACCACAGTCTAGAAAGATTCATCACTTTTAAGTACTTGCGATTAGATTGGCTCATGCCCATCTGGATAATTTGGTATAATTTCCCCAATTCAAAGTCCTTACCCTCTTACATGTGCAAAGTCCTGTAACATTCACAGGTTCTGGGGATTAGGATGTGAGTGTCATTGGGGGACATTATTCTGCCTATCATATCCTCATTCTTCTATTTTTTTTAGTGGTTTTTGTTTGTTTTAGCATAGTTGGGAATAATTGATGAACAATGAGTAATGATGAAGTAATTCCTAGGATGATGTAATAACAAAATATAGGAAAAATAAGATCAATAAGATCCCATAATGTAATTTAAATTTGTGAAAGGGTCTGTTGGATGTCTGGTGATTAATTATAAGAGAGAATGCATTTTAGTCCATTAAAAATAAATTTTATTTTTATTCTTTGGATGATCTCTAAGAAAGAATAAAAGTCCCCAAATACTAATCTTCTTTTAGAGAGGGAGCATGAACAGGGGGCAGGGGGGTGGAGAGGGAGAATCTTAAGCAGGCCCCACGCCAAGCATGAGCCTGACTTGGGGCTTGATCTCACGACCCTGAGATCATGCCTTGAGCTGAAATCAAGAGTCGGAACCTAACCGACGGAGCCACCCAGGTTCCACCTGCCCCCCTCTCTCCCCACCTCGTGACAAATACCAATCTTACAAATAGGTAGAACTACTTGAAAAAGAAGCTCAAACATTAAAATTGGGTTCAGTGGACCCTGAGGTATTCTGAGAATTAAATACTTCCTCCTCACCCCTGGGCCACAAAGATATTCTGCAGATTCTTCTGTTAATTTTATAGTTTTACTATCATATTTGCCCTTTAGGCCCCACCTTTTATATAGTATTGATAGGGATCCAGTTTTACTTTTCTCCATCTGGTGAACCAGTTTTCTCCACAGTGCTTCTTTTTTTAAAACATTTTTTAAAGGATTTATTTATTTATTTTAGAGAGAGGGGTGGGGGCAGAGGGAGAGAGAGAGAATCTCAAGCAGACTCCCTGAGTGTGGAGCCTGCCACAGGCTTGATCTCAAGACCCTGAGATCATGACCTAAGCTGAAATCAAGAGTTGGACACTTAACTGACTGAGCTACCCAGGAGCCCATCTCCACAATGCTTCTTAAATCGTCCATATTTTTCCACTGATAGGTGATGCCACCTTTATCATATATTAATTTGCCAAGTATACATATGGATCTGTCTGAAATTTCTCTTACATTCCACTGGTCTGTATTCTTGTCCCAGTATCACATTTTAAAAAAATACTGTTGTATTTTTGGTATATCTTTTTTATATGGTAGAGCAAGTCTCTTCTTTAATCTTCTTTCATAAAGTTGACTCAGAAAACTGACTTAGTTTTTTTATGGTTCTTTAGTCCCTCATTTAAAATTTGAGTTTCGCTTCATTTGCTTGTTACCATTTGGGGATTCTTCTGTAATAGCTTATTTGTGTCTTTTTCCTTAAAAGATTATCAAATAGAATTCTTATTTTGAATGCATTGCATTTATAGATTAATTGAGGAGTAGTTAAAATCTTTATAAGATTAGATTGTCCCATCCAAATACATGAAATGTGTCTCTATTCAGTTCTCTCTATAGAGATCTTAAGAATTTTTGGCTAGTTTTTATGAATTCTTTTGGCTAATTTCTGAATACTTTAGTTTTTGTGGCTAAATATTTTTTTTTATTTTCTAGTTGGTTATTGTGGACCTAGGAGGTATTTGATTTTTATGGTTTGGTCTTGTATGCAGTGGTCTTGCTGTTGGTCTTTTTTTTTTTTTTTTTTTTTTTTTTGGTTGTAACAGTTCGTTGATTCTTTAGGCTTCTCTAACCAATAATTATCTTCCAAAAATAAGTTTTATTTTTTACACCTCATATGTATATTTTTTCTTTATATTGGTCATGATCTTCAGAAATGGAAATATTCTGTTTTGAGGGATAATTTACACCACATAAACAACTCAAATCTAAAAGGAAGGAAAAGCTTAATTTGTAATTTTCAGAATATTGGAAACAACTGTTCCTCATCTAAGAGAAATATATTAAAAAGAAGTGTGATATATATATTTATACAGTGAAATACGATTTAGCAGTAAAAAGTAAGAGACTATTCATAACATGTAACAACATGGATGCATCTCAGATGAATGGATTATGCTAAAAGAAGTCAGACCCAAAAAACTACATACTATAATACTTCACTTTTTTTTTAATCTAAGCTCTACACCCAGTGTGGGGCTTAAACTCACAATTATGAAATCAACAGTTACTTGTTCCATTGACTGAGCCAGGAGGGAACCCCACCTTTATTTCCTTTTTAAGCAAGGGTTATTAATTGGGATATTTTGAGCTATTCTTTTGTTATGGATGTCTAATTTATTGCATTACATTTTGAAAATATAGTTTGTATGACATTAATTCCTGAAATGTGCCCTGTTTTATAAACATTTCATATCTAATAGCTCTTAATTTTATTTGTTCAGATCTTAAATATTTCCTTGTATTGTCAGCTTGACCTTTT